AATAAATTGGTCGATCTCATATTGTTTCCCATTTTTGGGGTTAATAAATGATTGTCTACATCTTGGATTCCCATGCGTTCTTTTACAGCTATAACATCGACCACATCTATAGAACCCTGTCTCATTGAAAAAACTCAAGGTACTAATGGATTTCCGGGGAGGTTCTAATACGTTTTTAACTACTCGATCTCGAACATTAGATGCCCTTTTATAAATAAACCGGGGTTTGTCTTTAATAATGGGTTTGAGGGTCTTATCTAATTTCAGTATGTTCCAATGCTTAGATATGATTTTCTGTATATCTCTGTGTTGTTTATTATAAGGTAATATTATCGATATATCTTGTTCATCTGCTTTTTGTTGTATTTTCTTTTCTAATAGTGTTGATCTATCTATAACTTCTATTCTCCTACTTTCTTCTAATATAGTTTCTCTCTTATACCCTTTATCCACAAACCTTTGGGTCAGTATTTTGCTCTGCTCTCTATAATCTTCTACATTGGTGCAATTACGTCGCAATCTTAAGAACTGTCCTCTAGGGACATTCTTAATCCATGGTCTGTGATGACAACTACTGACAGGAATATATGAGTTACGATCTGTTTTCTTTAAATAATTTGTTGTTATTAAACCATCCCCTGTGTTTGTTAATTTAAGGTCTAGAAAATTTATCTCTTTCTTGTTAATATTCCAGCTTAATGTAATGTTTTTAGTGTTCTGATTCAAATTCTGGTAATACTCAATCAATGATGGAACATCCCCTCTCCATAATAGTATGATATCATCAATAAATCGACCATATTGAACTATATTACTACTGATATCATTAAATATTACTTCCTCATCCCATTTCGCCATATATAGGTTGGCGATGCTGGGTGCGAAACGGGCACCCATCGCCACACCGCCACATTTGGTGCCATCGGTGAGTAAAATACCAATTATTTACTCTATACCAAAAATACATAAGGACTTAAAGGATCTCCCCATGAGACCAATAGTCAATGGAATAGATGGACTAACATCCAGGATAGGACAGTACATAGACCAATTCCTTCAACCCCTGGTAGAAAAAAAACAAAGCACATATTAAAGATACTACACATGTTATCAATATCATACAAACAATTGAGGTAAATAGTGACCTGATTCTTAGCACAGCGGACGTCTCCTCATTATATACTATTATAGATCACACAGGAGCGTTAGATGCAGCAAAATGGGCTTTAAATAAATATTCCTCTCTTTGTAAAAAACAAATTAAATTTTTGATTAAATGCATACAATTCTCTCTCAAACATAATTATTTCTGGTATAAAGGAGAGTATTACCTACAAGTAAGGGGTGTGGCGATGGGTGCCCGTTTCGCACCCAGCATCGCCAACCTATATATGGCGAAATGGGAGGAGGAAGTAATATTTAATGATATCAGTAGTAATATAGTTCAATATGGTCGATTTATTGATGATATCATACTATTATGGAGAGTCGATGTTCCATCATTGATTGAGTATTACCAGAATTTGAATCAGAACACTAAAAACATTACATTAAGCTGGAATATTAACAAGAAAGAGATCAATTTTCTAGACCTTAAATTAACAAACACAGGGGATGGTTTAATAACAACAAATTATTTTAAGAAAACAGATCGTAACTCATATATTCCTGTCAGTAGTTGTCATCACAGACCATGGATTAAGAATGTCCCTAGAGGACAGTTCTTAAGATTGCGACGTAATTGCACCAATGTAGAAGATTATAGAGAGCAGAGCAAAATACTGACCCAAAGGTTTGTGGATAAAGGGTATAAGAGAGAAACTATATTAGAAGAAAGTAGGAGAATAGAAGTTATAGATAGATCAACACTATTAGAAAAGAAAATACAACAAAAAGCAGATGAACAAGATATATCGATAATATTACCTTATAATAAACAACACAGAGATATACAGAAAATCATATCTAAGCATTGGAACATACTGAAATTAGATAAGACCCTCAAACCCATTATTAAAGACAAACCCCGGTTTATTTATAAAAGGGCAATCTAATGTTCGAGATCGAGTAGTTAAAAACGTATTAGAACCTCCCCGGAAATCCATTAGTACCTTGAGTTTTTTCAATGAGACAGGGTTCTATAGATGTGGTCGATGTTATAGCTGTAAAAGAACGCATGGGAATCCAAGATGTAGACAATCATTTATTAACCCCAAAAATGGGAAACAATATGAGATCGACCAATTTATTACATGTGATAGTAAGGGTGTAGTATACGCCCTGAAATGTCCATGTAATTATTTATATATAGGACGCACAAAAAGATGTCTTAAAGAACGTGTGAAAGAACACATACACAATATTAGTATAGGCTACAAATATCATCATCTATCAGTACATTTTAAAATGCACCATAATCAAGACCCAGAGAAAGTAGAATTTTGGGGTATTACCAAACATAATCCACATTGGAGGGGAGACAACTTAGTGCGAGAAATTAGTAAAAAAAGAGTCATTTTGGATTTATGAGTTGGGTAGTTTAGCACCAGGGGGGTTAAATAAGGAATTCGATCTATCATGCTTCATTAGTGACGTGTAGATTTTAGCATGATATATGAGTATCAATTACATATGGTTCCTTTTCCTTCACCTGGTTCAGTATGTGTACCTGTGTGATGAATATGGGGAAATATAATACATCGGCCATATCTCTCACTTTGCCACACAGATACACATATATATGTCAGTAACACCTCATTATAGGTAACCATTACGAGAGAAAAGAGTATATAATCGTTGGTTCATGGTTAAAGGTATAATCCGTGCCCACTGACTCATGTGGGGAAGTAGAATAACATCCAGGTGGTAGTAACTGTGTATTATATTTATTTATTTATTTTTTATTTTAAAATATTTTATATATATATATATATATATAGTTTCATAAGAATGGCAGATTGTAGATATGCTGTATAGGAGATACACATTTTGAGTATTTGCATAAAATATTCTTTACATGATATTTCCTTATTTTAATATATTTTTTTCTTATCTATATATATACAGTATTTCTCTGTGTATATATTTTTATTGTCATATACAATTTACATTTAATAAAAATAGTTTTCACATATATGGATGTGTGTGGTCATACACATACATCTATATGTATAATATAACATGCATTTTTTAGGTATTGAATTGATATATTGATGCATATAAAAATGATTGGTTTGTATACCGCTGAACCGCAGAGTCATGTCACTATGTATCTCTCCGGGTAGACATAGCAGTAAGGAAACAAATGTAACAATTGGCAATAACATTACCGCTGTGCAAGTACCCCCAAAAAAAACATGGCCGCTTCCGTAGGATAGACAACAAAATGGCGCGGCTCAGCTATTTAAGCCGGCAATGGAAGAGTGACTAACCTATCACAACCCCCTGATGAAGCCACGTGACCAGTGGCGTAACGCGTAGGGGTGGGGCTGCAATGTCACTCGGAGAAAGCCGGATTGTTTGACAGACGGCGGGTGCATGACTCAACGGCTGGCGGATTACTCGTGCTGCGTAATCTATCTCATACCTCATACAATTTATGTGAGTGTACCTGTTGGAAAGCAATAAAGCAAAAATCTTTTTATAAGGATAAAACACTATGTTTGGCAATTTGTCCCCACATATGGAAAAACGCATGGAGAGGAAAGCATAAGGGAATTTGAGTATCGCAAAGAGTGATCAATCCCATAAGGGCTAATTAAGGATAACGGATATCCACGTTTCACAATCTGTAAAGGAGGAATTCCATCTAAGCAGGTTCCATAGGAGGTGAACCACAAGTGTGTATAGCCTAATTGCAGGCTAATAAGGAGGTGAGCATACATCTTCACTAATTAAGGATTCAAAGAGAGTCACGGATTCACAATAAGTCACTAAATCAAGATTTAATCAAGCACAAAGTCACCGAATTTAAAGGACATTAATATCACAAATCAATTATTTATTTATTTGCAGTATATATATATATATTTCATTTTATTTTTATGTATATATATTTCACTATTTTTGATTATTCACCAATCATGATGTTACATTGATGTATTTATATTTATTTTTAAGTACACATCATCATATCACGTATTTCTTTGGGGATATTATTTTCACATTTATATATTTTTTTCATATTAGTGGATCATATATGTATATTTTTTCAACACTATATATATTTTTATTTTTATATTTTTGTACATCACCTGATTATATATATGTTTACCATGGGTAAATAGAATTACTAACACAATAGAGATTCTCACCGGGAGCGCAACACAATATGAATTATTAACTTTATGGACACAGAGGTAGTTGTGTGTTGAGTGTTTGCGATCCTATTTACATTTGGGACAGTGTGTGTCCACTTTTTGGTGATCTTGGGGAGTTGATATTGGGTGGATTTAATTTGGCTCGCAAGTCATACAGATATCTGCTAATGAATTGAGCGCAGCAATTATTTTGGGAATAATTGTTTAGATGTATTGTATATCTATACCTATCACATGCAGCTTCTTGTTTTTTTATTTGTTTATAGCGCTGACTTTTATTACAATTTAATAATCACTCATATATTTTTTTTTTTCAGGTCATTCTCTTTCATGCATCCAATGTGTGGGACAAACTTCCTGCATGGGATCTCCTGTGACCTGTCTGTCTAATTACAGTTGCGGCTTGGCCTATAGAGAGACCACTGAAGGTACGCCTGGCAAAATATTTCTGCAGTACAATCCATTTTTATTGTCTTTATTTAAGAAGGACCCCAACCGAAGCAAATAATTCCATTCTAAGTAGAGTGAATGAAGCTGGGTTTGTGAGGGTTCCCTGATTCTTGGAAATATGATGAAAAGGGGTACTTTGAGTGTAAGGGGGCACTCTGATGGGAATACCTGATGTAAGTTGGCACTGTGATGGGGATACCTGATGTAAAGGGGCACTCTGATGGGAATACCTGATGTAAGTTGGCACTGTGATGGGGATACCTGATGTAAAGGGGCACTCTGATATGGACAACTGATGTAAAGGGGCACTCTGATGGGGACAACTGATGTAAAGGAGCACTCTGATGGGGACAACTGATGTAAAGGGGCACTCTGATGGGGACAACTGATGTAAAGGAGCACTCTGATGGGGACAACTGATGTAAAGGGGCACTCTGATGGGGACAACTGATGTAAAGGAGCATTCTGATGGGGACAACTGATGTAAAGGAGCACTCTGATGGGGACAACTGATGTAAAGGAGCATTCTGATGGGGACAACTGATGTAAAGGAGCACTCTGATGGGAAAACCTGATGTGATGGGGATACGTGATGTAGCGTTGTACTCTGATGGCGACACCTAGTGTACGGGGGTGCACTGATGGGCACACCCTATGTAAGGTGTCACCGTGATGGGGGAACCTTATGTAATGGGGCCTTCTAATGGGGAAAACTGATGTAAGGGGACACACCGATGGGAGACACCAAATGTAAGGGGGCCTTCTAATGCAGAAACCTGATGTAAGGGGGCACTCTAATGGGAATTCCTGATGTAAGGGGGCACTCTGATGGGAATGCCTGATGTAAGGGGGCACTCTGATGGGAATGCCTGATGTAAGGGGGCACTCTGATGGGAATGCCTAATGTAAGGGGGCACTCTGATGGGAATGCCTAATGTAAGGAGGCACTCTGATGGGAATGCCTAATGTAAGGAGGCACTCTGATGGAAATGCCTGATGTATGGTGGCACTTGAATGGGAACACATTACTTAAGGGGGCGCTCTGATGGGGATGCCTGATATAAGGGGGTACTCTGATGTTGGCAACTGATTTATGGGGGAAGTCTGATGGTGGCACCCAATGTAATAAATTACTCTGGAGGGGGAACCTGATGTAAGGGGGAACACTAATGGAGACATTTATTTTCAGATCAGCAGGGGCTTATCTGTGTCCGACATAATTTTTAAATGCAGCCAAGAACTGCACAGGGATCAGGATTGACATGACTATAATCTCTGATCCGGCATCTTGGTCCAGGAAGTAGATGATGTTCCTGGATGATGCCTAACAAAGATGAGACCTTTCACTTGGAGAGAAAAGCTGATGAAGTTACTTAAATAGTTCTTGAAATTGCTTTTTTTCGCCAGATTTAGATGATGATGATGATATAACAATGAGGATTATTATTAAAGCTGTATAATATCACTGTATATATTATTATGCAGGCGGAAACAGACAAACAGATTATATAAGGTCATGTGTACCTACAAGCCAATGTAGTAAAGTGGGCACCCTCAGCTATACCGGTGGCACAATGAAGACGGGGATTTCATGCTGCAACATCAATAGCTGCACTCCATCTCTACCGCAATGTAAGTTCATTTATTTTATTATTAATATTTTTATATTCACAAATCACACATTACATGTTCACAAAATTCATATTTTTACAGCCACATATTAAGCTCCCAGGAGCAGGCCCCTCCTATCCCTCTTGTATTGAACTGTATTGTTACTGTATTGTCTCCCTTTATATTGTAAAGCGCTGAGCAAAATGTTGGCGCCATAAATCCTGTATAATAATAGTAATAATAATTTACATCCCCTTAAATACAAGCTCCAATATATCAATATCACCTCTGCATATAAATGCAAATCAATTCTTCAAAAAAGTACATGAAATCTTTCATATATATTTAATTTCATAAATAGCATAAGAAAATCAAAATAATGAAATGTAATCTATCCCCAAGTCTCCCAGTATCTGCAAATACTTAATAACCTCTAGAACTCTGGAAGGTTTCACCCCCTTCATGACCAGGGCATTTTTTACTGTTTAGCACTGCGCTATTTTAACTGGCAATTGTGTGGTCATGCAACACTGCACCCATATGAAATTTATATAATTATTTTCACACAAATAGAGAGTTCTTTTGGTGGTACATGTTGTTTTAAATCTAAGCCAAAATGTCTAAGTCTTTGGTAAAAAAAAAGAAAACATTCCATTAAGTGTATATTAACCCCTTCCCGCCGGCGCCTCCTGGCCCTTTAAGAGTTTCAGATGCCAGGAGGCGGGGCGGTTGGGGCATGGTTTAGGAACCATGCGTCATCACGGCGGTCACATGATCGGGAAAGGTCCCGATCGAAAGAGCAGACCGGGACCTTCCCGTGAGTACCACACATGTGTGCTGGGAGCACGCAGGGCATGCGCTCTCAGCACATATGTATTTAGTTACATGAACACAAATGTGCAGCTGCTCGTCGTCTAGGCCCAGATGCCAGGAAGCTGCACATTCTTGTGCGGCTGGCGCAAAGGGGTTAATTGGCTTATGTGAAAGTTATAGCATCTACAAACTATGGTATACATACTGGAATTTACGCAGCTATAACACTATACTGGTAATGGCAGTGATAAAATGATTTATAGTGGGACTGTCATAGTGTGGCAGGCAATCTGGCGCTAACAGACGTTCGCTGCATGGTACACTAATTGACTAACTGACACTGACATTAATAGTGATACTAATACAATAAGCAGCTATCTTACTGTAGACTATCGCTGTACTAGTGACACTGGCTGGGAAGAGGTTAACATCTAGGGGCAATGACGGGGTTAACTGTATGTCTAACAAGTGTAATATTTAATGTGCTGCTTTTACTAAGATATCTGGATGTTTTTCTGGATGTGTAATGTGCTGCTTTTACTAAGAGATCTGGATGTTTTCTGGATGTGTAATGTGCTGCTTTTACTAAGAGATCAGGATGTTTTTTCTGGATGTATAAGGTGCTGCTTTTACTAAGAGATCTGGATGTTTTTCTGGATGTGTAATGTGCTGCTTTTACTAAGATATCTGGATGTTTTTCTGGATGTGTAATGTGCTGCTTTTACTAAGAGATCAGGATGTTTTTTCTGGATGTATAAGGTGCTGCTTTTACTAAGAGATCTGGATGTTTTTCTGGATGTGTAATGTGCTGCTTTTACTAAGATATCTGGATGTTTTTCTGGATGTTTAATGTGCTGCTTTTACTAAGAGATCTGGATGTTTTTCTGAATGTGTAATGTGCTGCTTTTACTAAGAGATCTGGATGTTTTTCTGGATGTATAATGTGCTGCTTTTACTAAGAGATCTGGATGTTTTCTGGATAAGTAATGTGCTGCTTTCACTAAAACATCTGGATGTTTTCTGGATGGGTAATGTGCTGCTTTTACTAAGAGATCTGGATGTTTTTCTGGATGTATAATGTGCTGCTTTTACTAAGAGATCTGGATGTTTTTCTCCCTACTTTGCAGGGGGAAGAAACAGCAAGATCACTGATCTGTGCTGTGATTGGCTACAGCCGATCAGCATGTCCATGGCCAAAATCATTGACTGGGACCTGCTGCCAAAATTGTGTTGTAGCGAGTGGCAGAAATTCACTTTGTAACCAAAAATCAGTTTTTCCATTTGGGAACTAAGGTATCTCATAACTCATCCAAAGTGAAATTTTATTCTGTGATTTGTCCCATTTATTAAAGCCACTGAAGTTATGTTTTTTAACGTAGAGCTGTAAAGGAAGAATGGAGACAGATAAAAGCTAAAGTAAGAAGGTGATGAAAGGGCTAATCAAAAGCAATCAGGGTTAAGAAGGGGTTAAACTTTCATTCATTTAGGTTTAAAATTTGCCCAGAATATTCATTAATGAAGAATGGCTACAACTTTAGCTTTTATAAATAAAACTAATAAAGAGCAGGACTGAGCTGTCACATTTTACTGCAGACTCCATCAGATCAGCTCTCCTAATGCAATCAATGGAAGAGCTAATCTCCATTCAGCAGGGCTAATGTGTATACTGACAGATTGGGCTTGCAAAACCAAGGAGACAGCTGGAGAGCAGAGGTAGAAGATGTTCCCTCCCCAGCTGCACCCTCTCCACCTCATCACCCAAGGAAGGTGCCTCTCCTGCCTCTGGGTTGGCCAAGCCCTATATATACTTGTTCTACTTCTAATTTGATCTACTGCTTCTCCTAAGTCTATTCTATGTGTACTTGATTTTTTCAGCAGATGCCTCTGGCAGATCAACATTTCTCCTCTTTGTTCCACTCCCATTTAACACTTTTGTTTCTCAAAAAAAACTATTTTTCATTTCCTTCTCTGTTTCACCACTTGCCTCAGGCAGTTCAAAATTTCTGTTTTCTTGATCGAAATCTTGAACTTTACATACTAAAAATTAGAAAATAGTGTTACCATATGACATTCCGGTCTACTGTCATAATTTACAGTAATTTTGATAGTTCCAAGTCTTGGAGGTTTCTCCTAAGGCTTGGCAAGACCTTCTCAACCTTATAAGAAAAGCAATAGCCAAAACTGTCATCACGCGGAGGAGTACAGCATGTTATCATATGGATCTTATACTATATGGTCTAAAGTATGTGGACTCCCCTCCACAGAGAGTTCAGATGTTTCCAGTGAACTGTACTTGTCGGCAGGTTGAGGTATGCTCTAGTTAGGTGCTTCCCCAGACGGAGGGTAAGTGTTAATGCCTTTCCCAGTTCTTTGGTTTTGGTGAGTTATCTAGTTAGGCACCAGATGCTGATAAATGCCATTGATGGACTTTTGAGACATGGACTTTTTGCAAGTAGACAGCTGGAGAGCAGAGGTAGAAGATGTTCCCTCCCCAGCTGCACCCTCTCCACCTCATCACCCAAGGAAGGTGCCTCTCCTGCCTCTGGGTTGGCCAAGCCCTATATATACTTGTTCTACTTCCAATTTGATCTACTGCTTCTCCTAAGTCTATTCTATGTGTACTTGATTTTTTCAGCAGATGCCTCTGGCAGATCAACATTTCTCCTCTTTGTTCCACTCCCATTTAACACTTTTGTTTCTCAAAAAAAAAACTATTTTTCATTTCCTTCTCTGTTTCACCACTTGCCTCAAGCAGTTCAAAATTTCTGTTTTCTTGATCGAAATCTTGAACTTTACATACTAAAAATTAGAAAATAGTGTTACCATATGACATTCCGGTCTACTGCCATACTTTACAGTAATTTTGATAGTTCCAAGTCTTGGAGGTTTCTCCTAAGGCTTGGCAAGACCTTCTCAACTTTATAATAAAAGCAATAGCCAAAACTGTCATCACGCAGAGGAGTACAGCATGTTATCATATGGATCTTATACTATATGGTCTAAAGTATGTGGACGCCCCTCCACAGAGAGTTCAGATGTTTCCAGTGAACTGTACTTGTCGGCAGGTTGAGGTATGCTCTAATGGTGCTTCCCCAGACGGAGGGTAAGTGTTAATGCCTTTCCCAGTTCTTTGGTTTTGGTGAGTTATCTTGTTAGGCACCAGATGCTGATAAATGCCATTGATGGACTTTTGAGACATGGACCTTTTGCAAGTACTGTATGTCAGAGGTCAGAGGAGAATGGGCAGACTGGTTGCTGCCACATTCAGATGGTAAGGTCAGAATTTGGCGTAAAAAACATGAAAGCAAGGATCCATCCTGCCTTGTATCAATGGTTCAGGCTGGTGGTGGTGATGTCATGGTGTGGTGGATCCATCCTGCCTTGTATCAACGGTTCAGGCTGGTGGTGGCGGTGTCATGGTGTGGTGGATCCATCCTGCCTTGTATCAATGGTTCAGGCTGGTGGTGGTGGTGTCAT